GCTTTCTGTGCTTTTTCAAAGTTTTGAGTCACGTACATGTATTAATTATTTTTTAAACTATATAAGTAAATTATTTTTAAAAAAGAAGTAGAGGACAGGGGGTGGGGCAGTGCTGCAGAGAAGAATCCTAAAAATGGTGGTTTTCCAAAAACAGTGCCATCAATTTCACGATTTTTTTTCTGGTTACTATGCAGAGAACTGCTTAATTTGAAACAAAATAGATTTAGGCTGGATATACAGAAGAATTTGCCAACATAGGGAGAACTAAACGTTGAAATGAATGGATGAAATGATGTCATCCGGTGGCCTTAAAAGCAGGCCAGGCTGTCACTGGTGTGCAGGAAGGCCGCCCTGGGCACCGGCTCTGAGTTAGGGGCTTGGGTCAGACCTGACACACAGATTCGTCCTGACCACCCTATGACCTGGGTGGCGCCAGCTGCTCAGCCTAAGCGTCAGTTTCCCTCATCTAGGAAATGGGGCTGCCAAGAGAGCCCACTCACCAAGCCGCTATGAGGATTAAATGGATACTACACTTCGTCCATCACATTGTGCACAGGACCGCACAAGTTTGTGCTTACGTCTACGCTGTCTACAATGCCCCGGGGTGTGCAGGGATCGCCTCTCAGAGGAGCAGCCAGTGTCAAAAGAGTTCTGTCTATTAAATTCATACATGAAACTGTGTGATGGGTTTCAGGCCAAGATCAGACCTTCTGCCACACATATTACAAAGATACAAAGGTTCAACAATTGGAACTCATCAGTGAAATGAAAAAAAAAAACAAAACCCTTGCATAGATTATTGCTCCCATTCGATAAAAAGATCTGGCTTTGCTTGGAGGAGGAGGGGGAGGAGGAGGCCCCATACTTCCCTGCCAAATATCTAACCCTCTAACAATGTCTGTCTGGCGAGCCTGAGCACTCCAGGAAAAGGCCATCAATAAAATCCTTTCCGAGGGTCTGTGTAGAGCGGGGAGAGAGGAAATGCAGTCAGCTCTTTTTTCTCCGCAGGAAAGGGAGGCTGAACAACTGCACATCAGGAGAGAAGGCAAACAAATTGCCCATTCAAGCCAAAATAAGCTGCTCCTGGGGGAAGTAAAACAGCTGGAGTCAATTCAGCCAGACGCGGAGGTGAGGGCCCCAAAGACAGGGCCAGGCCTGGGGAGCCGGCCTCGGCCAGGCAGGGATCTCCTGAGCAAGTGGTGGCCACTTGCCCTCATCTCACCTCTGCTCACCTCAGTCTGGGCCCACAAATGGGCGCCAGGCAGCCAGCTTTGTCGGCTGTGAAGGGAAATCCCGGGTGGAGAAGAAAGAAAGGAAGCCAACTAGTGAACCTGCCAAGTGAGCGAGCACCTGCTGAACACCTATTATGTGGCAGGCACTGAGCAGGCACCAGACATACCTGTGCCGTTTGGAAAACCAACTTTAGGGGTGGGTACTGTGATAGTGATTTGACAGATGAGGAATCAGGCTCCGTGAGGAAGAGTGACTGTACCGGCACATAGCTAGAGAGCAGCCAGGCCAGCCGCGGCCAGTGGCTTCGGCTCTCTCCTTCCTGCTTGTCACTTGAGTTTGTCTCTGCCCAGCTCCAGCCATTCCTTTGTCTAAAGCAAGAGCTCACCATCGTTTCTAGCCAAAGGGGTGTCTGGAGGCAAACACAAAACATATCAAGAGATGCTTCACTGGAAAACTAGGGAAAGAACCAAAGCAAATTGCAAAAGAAGAGGGGGGAAAAAAAAAAGAAACCTGGAAGCAAATGAAGTAGCAGAGCAGAATTGTTTTGGTCCCCTAAGAACCCTGCAAAGTGGCAGCTGCAATGCAGGCCCTGAGTCCCCATCTGGGATGGGGGATGGCAGAATCCTGACCGGGGACCAATCAGGATTAGCAGTATTTCCAGGGCTGTTGGGACTTCCAGATCCCCTAGACTGGAGTCACCAGGCTCCAGAGTGAAAAGCCATTCTGCAGCTATGCTGAGCTCCTGCCCTGGGCCCTAACCTCTCAGGGCTGGGGTGGCTGGGGGGAGACACTCCCCCTCTATCTTCTGAGATTCCTACCCTGGGTCTCGGACCTTCTTATAGTCATTTTAAAATTAACTCCTTCCTTGAGTTCTTAATTAATTAATAATAATAATAATAATATCAGCTAACATTTATTGGGCCTTTACTTTTATGCCAGGCAGTTAGTACTTCACAACCCCATGAGGTCAATAATATATTACAGATGAAGCAATCAAGACAGAGAAGTTAAGTCACTAATACAAGGTTACACAGCTCACATGTGGAGGAGGCAGAATTTGAACCCAGTGCCTGTGCTCCCCTTCAGGACTCCACATAGTGCCTCGGGCCTTAGGATCTGAGAGCGTGGAAAGAGCAATCTTGGAAGACAGGCAGACAACTCAACATTTACTCTGCTTATCCTGGGGCAACCTGGCTGCCTGCCTAATCTCTGAGTCTCAGTTGTCTCCTCTAGACAGTGGGTGCAACTCTCTCTCTCTCTCTCTCTCTCTGAAGTTGTGTCCGAGCTAAGACAGAGAAGGTCCTCAATACGCCCTTCACCCAGCTCTATTTCACCTCCCCTTCCAATTTTGATTGTCACACATTCATTAGACATTAAGACTGCTTCTACACTTGAGCAAGGTTTGGCTTCTTCATACTCTGTTCTAGTCTATTCTGTGACTAGTTTGTGCCTGTAACATGTGGGACCCAATACCAGGCACTGTGGGGCAGGGTCTCAGGGAATGGGACCGAAGGCGGGGACGTCCATCTAAAGTGGGCAACGGCGGAAGGGCTGGGGAGAGGAGCTGGCTGTGAGAACCAGGCTTTAAGCTGGTAGGAACTCTCCTCCTCCAGCTGGTCTCCCTCTTGCTGGCCTCCTGCCAGGGCTAACAGGCACTTCTTGTCGCTTCCTGGTGCACAGCTTGCACCCTGCAGGGCACCCACCGCCGGTCCCACTCCTCCCCTCCCAGGGCGGGGAGCCCCTGCTCCCAGCTCACAGGCAGGCACACAGACAGATACAGAGCCCTGTGACCGGGCCCCCCTTTCCTGACCCCGGACCCCTCCATTCAGCAGACTGGGAGTCAGGCCCCCGGCACGGGGGGTGACACGGAAAAGGACACGGGTGCCCTCAGGGAGCTCACCAGCACCCCTGCCCTCGACTGTCTCTGATGTCGTCCTCCCGTGGGTAACATGGGACACACTTTTCAGAACATTATCATTTCTCTCTTCCAACTAAGAATCACTTCACTAGAACAGTCACACTAACATGCAAATCTCCCCTATCCCCACCCTGACCAAGGGAAAGGAGAAACAGAATTATAGATATATATGTATATATGTATGCATTTCTTTTGCACCCTCTATTTGCCAGGTATTTCACACACACAACAACAATCCCGCAAGGTCAAGGTGGAATTGTCCCCATTACGTAGATGAGGGGAAAATGGAAGCTCAGGCCGAGATGGAGCCGATCAGAACCAAGGCTGCGTGCTTGCAGGGTCCAGGCGCTTTCTGCAGGCCCGGCCTGCCTCTGGTCCCCTCCTTCATCGGGATTTTGTCCTCCCCCATATTTAGATCGCTGCCATCTTCTTGTTCGTGTGGTCCCAGAGGAGGCCAACCTCTCCCAGACCAGTGACAGCGGCGGCAGCAGCAACACTGTAGGCACCACCTCTGATTCTTTGATTAGTTTGTCTTAATTACACCCGGGCTGGAGCAGTTCCGGGACTGCTGCAAAGCCTGCAGGTTTGCTGTTCCATTTCCTTGCTCCTTCTCTGACTCCAGCTCCTTTGACTCCCCACCCCAATGCTGGCGAGCAGCCTACCTCCCTGCCATCCTTGGTTCTGCCTCCTTGCACAGCACGTTCAGGCCTGCAAAGGAGCCCTTCAAACCCTGGGCAGCTAAGCCAGTCCAGCTCGGTTCCAAAAAGAGGGCTCGAGTCTCTGCTGAGTGCTGGGCACTCCTCCGGGTGCCACGGATAGGCAGGAGGCAAAAGGAAAATGCAGGGGCCTGGCCCTTCAGAAGCTCAGGGTCAGAGGCTGGGACAGAAGGAGACAGGAACAGAAGCCGCCGGCACAGGGCAAGTGGTTAGGGCGCTGTAAGGAGTACTCAAGTATCGGAGCTGCCGGGAAGCTTGTCCTCCATTTTATAGATGGGGGAACATGGGCCCAATTATATGGAGGGATGTTACGTAATAACAACCAGCACTTCTAAAACCCTTACTAGGAGCTAAGTACTGTTCCTCGCGCCTTACCTCTATTAACCCCCTCAACAACACTGTGAGGTAGGCGCCATTGCCCTCCCCATTTTAAATATGAAGAAAATGAGGCATTGATTGGTTAGGCACCTTGTCCAAGTTCACACAGCTAGTGAGTGGCAACTTGTATTGAACTTAGGCAGCTGGGCCCTACTCGTTGTCTTCCTAATGTACTCCGTAATAGAGACAGAGTCTACCTGTGGAAGTAACAAGAAGGCTTCTTGAAGGAATTACTCATAGGCCTGGTTATAAAAACAGTGAACCTTGGTTATCCAGAATCAACTAAGGGGAAACCTTAATTAATCAGAGGCTTCAACTGAGAGTTCCCAAAAACCACAAAATACAAAGCAGTGAGTGAACAGAGCCCCATATTTCCCAAGAGTCAACCAAGGGGAACAAGCTTGATGGAAGGGATTTATTCAAGGAAGGAATAGCAGCTCAGTCTTCTTCCCCTTTTATGCCTGGCTTTCTATACATGCTGCCCCTAACCTGTCAGATCTTTAATATCCTCAGATGCCACTTCCTGAGGTAGAGAGACCGGCTCAGACACCTTAAAACGATGCCCAGGGAGGTGGATTGACATTTTTTAGAAAAGGAAATTCTAGTAAGGTTTTAATCAACCAAAGATTTCCATTTCCCAGAATCTCCTCCAACACACACATACTCACACACATACACACAGGCACTCAAGAGTCATCTCCAATTTTGCCACATGAGTTTCAGAATAAACAGTTACTAGTACGCAAGCTACTTACCAATCACTGCCAGATTATGTTCTGAGCCACAAGAGACCTATACAAAGAAAATAAGTTATATTAAAGAAAGAAAATGTACAGATATTTCAGCTTTTATATTTTATGATCACAGTTATTTTTTAATAACACTAACATCTATTTTGGGCACATTTTAGGAAGTAGAAAGTGGCGCCACATACAAAAGCTGGCTATAATTAAAACATACTCACAGCTACATTTTAAAAAGTGGTAAAAAATCAGATGAAATACACCAAGATGTATTTGTTTTTAGGCAGTGGGGCCATGAGTGATTTTTTTCAAAAATCCTGTCTTTCTAGTTTTAGTATTTTTCAGACTTTCTACAATGAGCACATATTACTATAAAAATAGAAATGTAGGCAGTACCAAGGACAGTTTTTTTTGAAAACTGGACTAAACAGACCATCACTCTCATCTGGACTGATAAGATAAGCAGAGAATTTGGTGGAAACAGACTCACCCAAGGACACAAACGTTTGACTTTTCTCATCTGCTCACCCTCCTTTTCACCTTCCAGTCACACAAACATCTGTAGCTCTCTGAGTGCAACAAGTTTGCTCACACCTCTGGGCCTCTGTGTTTGCTGCTCCTCTGCTTGGAATGATCTCTCCTCAACTGCCAACCTAGAACACTTCCACTCGTCCTTTAAAATCCCAGCGTCCGCTGAGTCTCCTTTGCCGTTGCTTCTGGGCAGATACAAGCACTCCTTTCATTGCACAACTTCTATGTACCCCCATTTGTAGCAATTATCTGGTCGCCTTTTACATTTTTTCCTGTCTCCTCACTGGACTGCATGTGTCTTGAGAACAGGACTAAGTCTCCTTCACCTCTGTACTACACAGCTGGATTGTACAAGGCCAGGGTCTCAGCTAACATCTGCCAAGTAAGAGAAGGAAAGAACAAAATACGGAAAAGAACAAACACCTCATATACAAAAGACAAGCATTTGGGGTTCTGAATCCAGTGTCCCCCCAGCGAGAGAACCTTTGTGCCTTTCAGTCTCTGCACATCCCTACTGCTACCAGGAGGAAGTGATTGGGAATATAAAAGCAGAAACAGTTCTCCAAGTACTAATTAAAAGGAACTCAAGACTCTGGAGAAGCATCCTGTGACCTTTATCAGGATGCTCACTTCAGCTCCTGGCATGAGGAAGTCTTCAGGTACTTAAGGAATGTTAACGCAGGAAGGGCCCTGAAGATCTTCTAGTTTGATCTTTCTACATTATGAAGAGAAAACTGAGGCTTGGGAAGAGGACAGAACTTGCCTTGGGTGCCAGAGCAAGCATATGTCAAAACTAAGACTAGCCCTGGCCAGTGTGGCTCAGTTGGTCGGGCATCCTCCGACAAACTGGAAGGTCACAGGGTTGATCCTTGGTCAGTGTATCTGCCTAGGTTGCGGGTTCAGTCCCCAGTCCAGGTGCATAAGAAAGGCAACCAATCAGTGTTTCTCACACTGATGTTTCTCTCCCTTTCTTTCCCCCTCCATCTCTCCAAAATCTATAAGCATGTCCTTGGGAGACGGTTGGAAAAAAAACCAAAACTAAGACTAGAACCGCTCTGACTCTCTTACAAGTTCCTCTCCTGATGCTGTAGCTTCTCACTCTTTCCCAGTGAAAACCGCTCAGAAGTGATATTCAAAGGTAATCGGCATAGGCCCCTGACAGCAGCAGGGCCAAAAGGCATTTGAGCACTGAAAGCCAAAGAACACATTGATAGGCGAGAAAGGGCAGCAAGACATCTGAGGCTTTTTTCCTTATAAAGTCTCTGCTTCCCAGATCCCAGCTTCTGCAGGGAAGAGGCCTCCCCATACTTAGGAGGACTTCCTGACAGTGTCTGGCAAAGAGGTACCTGTATGTTTTATCCTGGTAAAGATTTCCAGGTTGTCTAGTTTCCAAGGTCCTTTGAGACAGGCTCAGTATCTAATTTATCTGAGATGGTCCCACCATGACTTGCCCAGGGTCATACACAAGTTCATTATATGCTTCCCATTACACTGAGCTGGTTCCCTAGGTTCTGTCATAGGAAGATGTTCAGATTGAAAAACTGGAAAAAACTTAGATATATAACTTTATGGGAATACTTATGTAAATTATCATACAGCCATCTGATGAACTATCATACACACTAGGAAAATGATGTTTACAATAAAGGAAAATACTCATGATATCCTGTGAACTGAAATATTGCCTAAAAACTGTACTATGTACAATAATATGATCTCCACTCTGCAATGATACATGAATACGAACAAGACTGGAAGAGACACATCAAAATGTTGACAGTGACCGCCTCCCAACTAGGGACTAGACAGGCACTACAAGTGTGGTTTTTCCTTTTGCTTTTTCAGTGCCTTCTAATTCTTACACTATGTATTCTTATAATCAGAAAATAATCTATGAAAAATAAAAATAATGCCGTTTCTACCACAGAGGAAAAAAAAACCCTGCCTGCTATAAAACCTGATATGTTCCAAAGTAGCCGGGGGAAGAGACTTGGAGGAAATATAACTAAATTATAAGGGCAGCTTACGGTCTATTTTTTAAATATTCTTTAATGGTGGTGGTAACAGTAGCGGTGATGATGGCAGCGATAAAAGCAGGAATTAAAGCCCCATATACTGAGGACTCGTGCCAGGCGTCAGGCCAAGGCACTTTCTAAACATTATCACATCTTAATCATCACAATAGTCTTTTTCAGGTAGGTCTGACTTTGCTCATTTTGGAGATAAGAAACTGAGCTCACACGTATTAAATAACTTTCATAGCTAGCTAAAGTGGCAGTAGCAGAACTGCCTGATCTCCAAGCTCCTGTTCTGTACTGCTAGATCATGTTACTTTGTTTTTTTAAAAAAATAAAGTCATTTCATTTCACAAAATGCAGACGGAGAAAGGGTACAACCTGGGGCTGTGGACCGCAGAGCTGACCAACCTTGAGGAGCAGAGGCTTCCAGAAACAAGCCACTGACAAACGTCAGTATCAGGCAGCAGGTGCTGCTTTGAATTACCGAGCGAGACAGTGATGAATGGATTTTGTCAGGGCAACGCAGAGCTTGAAGCTCAGGGCTCCCCACCGCTTCTTGCTGTCTGCCCTGGCACAGAGGTCAGGAGCCTGAACACCACAGGCCACAAAATCCCAAGGCTGCACTCCTTCGCCAAGATTGTATCAACGACCATTTGCTTCGTCTTGCTCCTGTCAGCATCGACCTACCGCCCAGCTGCAGGCAGCTTTCTAGAAGACTCTGTTAACAATGGCAGTGTGCCCGGGAGAGAGAGATTCAAAGCCAGGAAGCCGGGTGAATCCTCGGTCCTCTGTTTCTCGGCTCTGAGACCTCTGGCCAGGTATTTATCCCCTCAGGCCTCAGTGTTCTCAGGTGTAAAAAACTACATAACAGTATCTGTCCCATCTGCCTCACAGAATTGCTAGACGACAAGTGAGACAGTAATCCATCTCCTCATAGCCATGCACCTCACCTTTCTTCCATATAAATCTGACTGTACCATGGCCCTATATGGAAGCCTTTGCAGGCTCCCAGCATTGGCTGGGTAGTCTAACCTATACAGTGTGGCTTACAAGGCCTTCAGGAGGAGACCCCTGTTTACCTCTCTGGCCTTGTTTCCTCCCTCAGCTACCCACGAACCCTCCACCCCAAATAACATATTTCCTTGGCTCCAGTCACACCACATTTCTCTAAGAACACTATGCAGTTTCAAGCTTGTATGCATGCTCTTCTTCTTGACTGGAATTCTTGTTCTCCCACTGCCCACATAGCTAAATCCTTCAAGATTGCTCAGATATCACCTCCTTGTAAAACTGTCCCTGATTGCTCGGGGCAGAGCCAGCTGCTCCACCCTGGCGAGTCCCACAGCATTCTGCACCAAGGCCCTTATCACACGTGAGATGTCTATTCCTGAACTGCACGTGAGTTAGGCGTTGCTGTCTCTCAGACACTCAGCCAAGTGCCTGCCCAGCAGCTGCTACCAAACAGCCCAAGGGCAGGGCATGAAGGGGAGCGGGGAGGGGGGAAATATAAAGATAAGGGGCCCAGAGAAGCTAGAGGACCCCGGTCACGGGGCCACGCCAGCCCAACTGGAGACTGGCACTGACATGTGGTGGGGGGGGGGGCAGGGAGGGAACAGCACCACAAGAATAGTGTAGAGATGACGAGCTAGAGAGCAGAATAGATTGCTCCAGGAACTCTAGCACAGCAAAGCACAGTAAACCGGCCACGGAGGTCAGCCCTGGGAGACAGAGTCCCACTCTAGAGAAAGTAGGTTCCAGCTTGCTGGATGGGGCCTTCAAGAGATGGGGGGCACGCCTCCCCAAGGGCGAGGGGTGGGACAGAAGTGGCTGTGGAAAGCCGTCCTGACTCCATGCTGCTCAAATGCGAGAGGGATCTCTGTTCAGGCATTTCAGCCTGAGAAGGCAGGGCTGCAGGAAACACTCTCCAAACCCCCAGCTACGAGAGGGACGAGATCTCCCAGCAACCCTCCTGCCAGGCTAGACTCTGTCAGTTCTTAGGAGGGGAGTTGCCCGGGACCCCCTGCGGGCTGCTCTCCACTAACTGCAGCGCGCTGGGGATGAGCGGGGCCAAGCGTTGACTGGTAGTAGGTGCCCTGTGAATACATGCTACATGCATTAATGAGTTAAAAGAATGAATAACTAAATGAATAGGCAAAAATTAGATGAACATGAAAATATTTGCCAAATGTTAAATGTGAGCACTTTAGTTCTCAGCAGTACACTTGCACCATTTCTAAAAACAGCTGACTGGCCCTTTTGAGTGCTTAGGACCAGGCACCTGGGCTAACTGCTTTGCCAGTTTTATCTCACTGAAACACATCTGAGAGACAGACTCTGTTACAACTGTTTTACAAATGAGGCGACTGGGGTTCAGAGAAGTAAGGTAACTTACCCAGTGTTTTACAGCTAAGGAAGATGCAGGATTCTGCGATCATTCCAATTCAACCTTTCTGTCCTCCCAACTGTTTATTAACTCTTCTTGTTTGCATGGTATAGGATG